TCTTAAATTCTAATGTACTTTAAACTGCTTAAACCAAACATCTAATGGATTCAGCTCAGCCATCAGCGTTACCGTATAGAATGACATTTGAACTAACACTCATTTTTGTTTGGACCTTAGTCTGAATACGGTAAGGAATAAGGTTACCGTATTCTTAAAGTGATGAATGGTGATAACTCTCTATTAGCACAATCTAACAAATAATGGTTGGTTATTAATTCCCTATAAATTTTGTTTAATTAATTTTCTCCTGGATCATGATAGCTTTTTACAATTGTGGAATTAAAATTTATTTTTTTAACATATTGACTGTAACCAGAGATATAACCATTCGTTGATAAAATTTAATATTCACGATGCCAAGATTAATTCAACAATCGATACACTCTATTTGTAGGGACGGGGCTAGGAGACGAAAGGTGAGAAGTAAGAGAAGGGATAAAGAGAAGAATTTAACGCAGATACAACTTATTTTTATCCATGAATAAATGTGTAAGACTCTGTGCGCTTATAATAAATAACGTAAATATCAATGCCGATGTAGGCCCTATTGCCCCTTCCAACCTAACATGACTAGCTTTTGGAATTTATTGAAAATTATTACATCTAATTTAGTGAAATTACATCTAATTCAATTTAATATAACTAATGATTCAAAAAATTTTGGGTTGAATTATTTTAGGTTTTTTAATATATCTAAATAATTTTGTAAACAAAACAAGAATAATGAAATAGGCATATAACAACAGCTGATATTGTACCCTTTTGTGTCCCTTAGAATATGTCTTATTCAGGACTGCACGATATTTGTTAGTAGTTACATCTCCTCGTTATTTCGGACTGTAACTAATGAATGATCTGTTAACTTCGGAACGTGGTGTATTTCTGTTTGAAAACCAAAATTGCCAAGTATATAATCAACTAAACTAGAGCTTGGTTAGTAATTCTAGTACATTCTCTGACAGATTGTTGCATTCCATGACATGTTTAATACATTTTTAAAACGGGTTGCATAAAAGTCGTTTTTTTCGAAATTAATATTAAATAAGATAAATTTTATGTTACATCTTGTTAAATCATCACAAATGTTCTCAAAATTTTCAAGAAATACTGAATGACTAGCACTAGGTGAATGATATAATGCACCAAGCAATATATTTACATTATTGTACAATATTTTTATTATTAAGCACCAATAATTGTTTTCTAAGATATATTTTTTGTATTTAAATGAGTTGAATCTTTGTATACACGTTGATTTTTTTAATATATTCGCTTGTTTTGATGAAGAATTATGGAATGCTACAAAGAAAATGAATTTTCCTACGACCACTTAGGAAAGTGACACATATCACACTATATAGTCCTATGGAAAGTGCCCTATATCACACGCGTATGAATAAAAATTTACTTTCCACCCGTGTGCGAATATGCTACTTTCCGCATCAGCTGTCACAAAATTTCAAATGCATCATTTCTATTTTGATCTATGTAATGTCCATATTAATACTAAAATCTATATGATTCTTAAATTATTGAAATTGTTGTAAATTAGATCCTAGATATTTATCTTTAACAATTATTGTTAAAATAATTTAAAAATAACTAAGTTATGATTGCTTTTTATTCTGGTTAAACACATAACCGATTAGATCATTCAATTAACGTAAGGCCTATTAGCTCAGGTGGTAGACTATCAAACTTTATCAATTTTGCCATTTGAGACCTGGCGAGCGACTGCGTTCAAATCCTTGCGGGGCAGAATTTTTTTTTTGTTTAGAAAATATGAAAATTGAATAAATACGATTATTGTTTATTATTTTTTTAAACCACATTTTATTTATTATAATAACCTGGTTTTACATTTTTTGATGAAATTATTTTGTGGTTGTAGGAAAAATATTGTACATCACTTGTGTGAAAAGTGATTTTCCACACTCGTGTGATAGTCGCACTCGGCTTGTGGCTCGTGCGACAATATTTCCCGCTCGTATGAAAAATGTCACTTTCCACACTCGTAATGTAATATACTATTTGCTCTTTCCGCATTAAATAAATACTTAAAATTAAATAAATTAAAGTTAAATACGCTAAAAACCAAAGCTATGATAACGACGAAATACCAGTACAATTGTCTAAATATTAATAAAATTAACCTTAAAATCAGGGGCGGCTCGTGGCCAAAATTCTGGGGGTTCACCACGGGGGTCGGATTCCATGTAAATAGTTGGTAACAAGTTTGCTTGACCTCGACAGTAGCGCGCTAAGCGCTTACGGTTGAACTACACCTGTCAGTTTCAGTCGATAAAGTAGAACACTACTAATTAAAGCGATTTAAAAATTGGCGGGCTTGATAATTTAGATATTTGAAGCAATTTAAAGTAACATTTTCCTATTTGACAACTTTTACTTACAACTACTAAACAAACAATAGTTTAGTGAATTTTTGTTGTAGGTAAATGTTGAAAAATGGAAAATGTCACTTGTTTTAACTGAAAAATAAAATTATTTGAAAAATAAAACACATTTTTAAAAAGTTTAATTTATTTAGAATTATCTTATCATTATCTTCTAACTGCATATTTTGAACATAACAAGCACTATATCACACACTAAATTACTGAAAAATAAAAATATATGATAACCAGCATAGCACATGACAATGTTTTTATTATTAAAAAAACCGGATATAGTTTTTATAAAAAGTCAAAGTAGTTAATTTATAAACACAATTGTTTTAATGTTTTAAATTTCCCTTATTAATCCAAGGACAAATCATTCTAATTCTAATATTCTTATACTTATTGTCCCTTTAAGGCTTTTTCCATCTATTTCAATCTAGAATAGTTGTAATGCCTATTTCGGTTACAATAAGCCTCCAGCTTCAATACAGGTGGGCTTTGAAACTCACCCTAATTAAGAAACACATTTATGCACATTCCAAAAATCTCCATACCCGGGAATATCTAAAACAAAACAAAAATAAAGGTGCAGTGTGTATCTTAAAATTAAAAATAAACACGAGTCATAACCTTTTTAAATTCTTACATTTTTCTTGCAATAAAAGGTATTAAAATTTCAATAATAATAGAAAACATCTGATTTATGATCTTAATAGGTGAACTATGCAAAAATTAACAAGTTGACCTAAATAGCATATAAGTTTTTGAACATATTTGGGTATTATTTGATAAATATAATAATGAATATCACGCAAAAATTGAACAATAACTTTTTGAGCACGAATCATTCGCCTTTTTTCATCATGGTCTTTATGATATATATACTGGGGTAAAACTAAGATCAGGTTCTATCTCGGGTTCTACAATTTTTTTTTTGTAAATTGGCTTCACACATTTCGCTCACAACTCCTTTCATTTTTTTGACCGCAAATGTTTAAAATGTGGATCCATTTATCTCTAGAGTAATAATAGCAGGAAAAACAAACTTTCTTGTTAGTTTTGTGAGAAAAATACTTAGGTACTTCTGCAATTAAAATTTAAATGAATCAGAAGTTAACGATTTTCTTAAGAACCTGCCTATAGTTAAATTAGTTAAATCTAACTTACACTTAATTAATACAATTTACTCACCTACATTTGAAAAAAATATCACCTGATTTGAAAATGAAAATAATAGGCTGACATATTTATTATTATTTATAGCAACATAACCTAATTTATTTTCAAAGCCAGATTTACACCACCTAATAATTAAATTTAGCTTTAACTTTAAATTTATTAACGATTATCCCTGTATTTGATCACACATTATAGCAAAGTGAAATTTAAAGGGGTAAATCAGTAAACTTATTGATTTCTTTGTCATTATTTTTGAAAACATATTTTTTTATGGGTGTAAACGGGTTTGAATTTAGTGATAGCAGCGCGCTAAGCGCTTACGGTTCAACTACCAACAAGGAAACAAATCCCGCCATTTAATCAAACCTTCTCTTTTTATTTTTCTATGGGGTTCACAGTAGCAGAATATAGATCCCGGTACAGATATAGGTAAAAAACTGTCAATGTTTTAGAAAGGTATATTATAAACTTTCTAAAACACTGAAAGTTTTTTCATGCATCTGTACTGATACCTATATTATGTCACTGTGAACCACCCCACAAGCCGCCACTGCTTAAAATAAATTATGAAAAAATAGAAATTGTAACGTCAATAAAATATCTTGGATTTTATATTGACAATCTTTTATTATTTGGTAATCATTTTGATTATATCGTCGGCTGAATGCAAAAACTAGGTAACTTTTTTTTTGTTGTTTCGAGAAAATCAATTAAGTATTATTAGTGACATATTAGAATATGTCTGGAGAAAGTTTATTTAAAAAAATGGGTCAAAATTTAAAGTTTCAAGGTCATAGAAATCTCATTTCAAAATCCTTTAATGTTTGCTTGGTTTCGCATCTGGGTAATCTGTGTCTTTAGTATAGTTTGTTTTTCGGTCATAGATGAATGGCCTAAATTCAATTAGCTACGTCTTTTTGGAGGTGAAATATTTGAAAACTGGTCCTTGGTATAGCGATATCTATGTCAATAAATTAAAAACGTACGAAAATCAGTACAGTATTGCTTCGTGAATCCTAAAAAGAACCTATTTATTTAATTTCGGATTAATAATAGATAATTAGAAAGAATAAAACACGAAATAAACACAAATATTTTACATTTTTAATGTATCAACCATGATGTGTCTAATCATAAATAAAAAAGTTCTTTATTAGACATTTTGGTCTATATGAACTGCTGAGTTGAATAACCAATCAGAAGTTAGCGTTTAGGCGCGACAAATTCAAATCGCTTCTGCTAGTTTAAAAATAAAAGTATAGTATATTTTTAAGAATATTCTTGCAACCGACTGTTTGTTTTCCAAAAAAAATCGAACCTAATTTTTTCAAAGAAATCGCATGTTTAAAAATGTATGAAGAGGTCTTTGAAAAATTATGTCCATATTTATGTTATTCATCTTTGTCAATTTTCTTGCAGTTTGACAAATGTTGTGCGAAAAAAAAGGGGTCGGCCATCAACATTTAATTACAGCAATAAACTAATATTGGCAAAAGCAATATGTGCAGAATTTAATAAGATACCAGTTAGTGAAAGAACAAATAAATCTTTGTGGAAAGATGTGATTAAACAAGTTTATAATAAAAAAGTCCTCCCTAATCTTACGTTAGCACAATTGCATGTCAAATGGATCAACTTGAAGAGATCAGCCACTATTTATGAAAAAAACGGTCCGGATGAGATAGATAATATGATTTGGGGACTTTTAAAGAACGTTAGTGACCAAAAAGCATTGAACAAGAGCCCTATGAAAACAAACACTGAAGGAAGGTAAGAAGTATTTTTTATTATTATTATTAAAATTATTATGCAGTTTTATGCTACCTTATTAGACTTTCAGCTATAAAATTTAGACGGATTCTGTTTTTAATTTTTTGGAATTATTATTATTATTATTATTTTAAATATAGACCACAAAGTAAAAACATGGTTCTATATTCCCAAAAACACAACAAGGCCCATTAAAAACACTTGAAATAAAACGCCTTGACTTGAAAATCTTTAAAAAGTTTTAAACTTTAAGGAATCCAATAATAAAGGTGAAAAACAAATTTTTAGGTGATAGAAAATTAAGGCAAGTTTGCTATATAAACTAATGTCCGAAACTTTGAAATAGGGGAGATAAAGCAATTCAAAGGGGGAATGGAAAAAACCAGTTTTTCGGTCTTATTTTCCAACCAAAGCAAACTATTAACTCTAATGAACCAGGTACATTTCTTATGGAAAAATGGCTTACCGTCAAATTTTCTGAAATGTTGATATGTTGTAGAACTCGATACTCTACCAAAAAGTGTCCAAATCAATTATATGAGGGTATTAAACATCAGAAATGCCACTTTTTGTTTAATTCGCGTTTGTTGTATAAAACATGAATTATATATTATTTGGCACTAATATAAAAAGTTACTTTAGTAATTGGTTAATTACAGGGTGGTCCTTGAATATGAAATATGATTTTTTTGATTTTATTTTTTTTTTATAACAGCGCCAGGTTAAAAATATGAACAATTATCATTGTATTATGAAAATATGGTTTAAGTAATTGCTTCTTGATGATACATCATATTTTATACAGGGTGACTCATAGATATAGTTACAGAGGGCAAATATTGTTTTTCGTCTTTAACGAGTCACTCCATATAAACGATGTGTTCTGAATTTTTTATACTATATTAAATAAATGCAAGACCTGTCACTCTGTCATAAAGAGTGTTAAACTGATTGCAAAAACTTTAAAAATTAGAAAAGCATTTTTTTTAGTGTGAGAATACCATTATCAACATACATTTAAATGTTAAATGTTTGGGCTATGTATTTAGATTTTTTGGAAAATCAGCTCTTTCAAATTTTACAAGATGTACCTCTACAAATGCGGAATGAAATAGTATTCATGCATGACGGGGCTTTGCCCCAATTTTACAAGGACTGCCAGAATGTGGTTACATCAAAATTTTCCTGTCAGATGGATAGTCAGGGGTGCAGATGCATCCATTCACTGGCCTGCTCGGTCGCCAGACTCAATTCCACTGGACTTAACTATGTGGGGATATTTAAAATCTAGGGTCTATAATTCAAAATTAATAATTTAGTAGAATTAAGAAGGCGGGTAGAAAATGAATGCACAGCGTTAATGAACAATGATTACATTTTAAACCGAATTATGGTTAAAGAGTACCTTTTTTTGTAGAAAAAACTGTGGAAATTTGTTTTTCTTAAATTTTTTTTCTGAAAAGATAAAATTAAAAAATAGGATTAAGAATACCCAACCAATCCACTTAAACTACCCCTCTAACAATATTTTTTTCTTTTGTTTTACAAATAAATCAAATGATATAAAACTTTTAAGTTTTCCAAGAAATTTGGAGTTGATAGTTCGCTGCGATTGGAAGTTTTTTTTGGTTGTTGGTTTTTCCATTCCCTTTTGAATTGCTTTATCTCCCCTATTATAAAGTTTGGGACATTAGTTTATATAGCAAACTGACCATAATTTTCATTTTTCTATCACCTAAAATATTTGTATTCTTTGTTGACTCAATAATATTGAAAAATCGATGTGGTATCAGTAGAATCACATGAACTGTTAATTTTAGTTGGTGAGTTAATGTTAAGCTAATTGCTGCAGAAAATGCAATATAATTTGGATATTTTTAATTTTTTGTATTCTTTTACTAGGAGAATTCTCCATTACAACTCTGATACGTAATAGACTATTGTGCCATGGCAAATAATAATAATAGCCATCCCTCCCCGACTCAAACTCTTATGTCAGAGCTTCAGGGATTCACTCGTAAGGGGGTGAATTATAGGGAATTAATATTATTACTATTATTATTATTATTATTAAATAATCAAAATTTGTTTAAATGATGATAAAAGTTGCTTCCCTCCCAAGTTGAAATTCAAATTAATATTTCTTATAGTGACGATTGTCTTGAAGACAGTGAAACGGATGAGCTGAATATTATTAAAAGCACTAATAAATCTCAGTCAAAAGAAGAACCGTCTAAAGTTGAGGCAAAGATGGCGGTAAAGCGTCAATTTAGTTTTACCAATCCTGACGATAAAAAACTAAACGAAAAATCACCAAACGTCGACCTAGAGACAAACCCTATTACTAAAAAACTAAAACCAACAAATGTCGACTTAGAGATGTTAAGGCGTCAACTTTTTGTGGCAGTTAAAGATGTTTATGAGGAAATTGTGAAAAATAACTTACAAACCATTAAACGTGGCGGAATTTGGCAAGCTGTATTTAACGAACTCTACGGCAAACGGCGTTTTGACTTACTTAGCAGAAAAGATGCAGATAAAACTTGGACCTTATTAAAAGCAAAAGTATACAATGATTCAGTAAGGAAGCCATCATTTGAGGGATTTTATTATGAGGTAAAGTTATGATGTTCCTTTTCGTTTTTCATATTCCATCAAATGGGGTGACATTGATAGCTTTTTTTAAATAGTTTTGCGTCAAAAAAATATAATGTATTCGCAGTATGCTTAATGAAGACATCCAGGGTTTTAAAAAATTCAAATAATTGTATACTTGCTCTAAAATAATAATAACTTTATGTGCGCTTGGGACGTCTTTGATAATCCATAAGTTTACATAAATTATCATTTGTCATAAGAATTGGATTAAACTGTCTTCGCAAAAGAGAAAATAAAACTTTAGTTCATATCAAAATGAAACTTTATTTCCTATAAAAATAACAAAACTCAAATTTGGCTCTTTCTTGAAAATAATACAGTCTTTAAACATAGCACAAATGTGCAGAAAAGGTACAAAACAACTAATTAAAATTTAACTTTCAAAAACATCAACCGATTTTGAAAATACATATTTTGTTCCGCGTTCTCCAAGTTTACCGTAAACAAGTCGTTAAGAACAATTTTAAAAGTTATTTTGTGGTGTCTAATGATTTTAACCCCAAGATATTGTAGTCGTTCTTGTCAGCTTGCCCTTCAATCTTGACAACGTATCTGTACATGGTAGAATTTCTGTGTCCAGACAACACTTTTACTAGAATGAATGTACCAGGCACAAGATTCTTAGGGTCAGTGGGTAAATAACCTACTTCATCAGCAACGTCGGAGTTTGCGTCTTCATGTTCATCGGACAGTTCTTCCGAAATACCATTTATTTCTTTACTTTCGTCTAATTCATTTGTTGGGCAAGTAACACTTTTTCCAGCTTTCACAGTTAACCGCTTTTTTTTTCTGCAGCGAATTTCGAATAGGAGTGCTATTGTAACGTTTTTCTTTCAATTGGGACACGAGATTATTACCAAAATCTGCCCCAAATTGATTACCATTATCATTAGAGTTCGGAATTTTATTAAAATTTTATCCGGGTTCAGTGGGTAAATTCATGTTTTCTAAAGTAAGCTGCATAAGGTGAGGAAATATTTCTTTCTTTAAAGAAAATTGTTTTGGATTTTACACTCCAATAATACTGACATCCATGCAGTCTTTAAGGGCCTCAAGTGGTTGAGTCAAGTGAGTTTAATTTGGAGGCACAAAAAAGGCAATTTTGGTTACACAAATCCAAAACTTCATCAGTAAAGTGTGACGACAAATTGTCGCCATTTAGAATCTTCTTCCCTGGCAAATTATTAGGGTGTGGTAAAAACGTGTCCCTAAACCAATCACTTTGCATGCTATTGTATCTGGATCCCGAGCTACTACAACAGTCTACAACAAGGATGTCCTTTGGGACCATTCTCTGTCCAGCGGTCCCACAGATGTTCTGATTTGTAAATTACGTAGGGAGGTAGGAGAACACCTAAAGCTGACCCACAAAACATGATGGAAATGGCTGATTTTGAATGGTTTATAACATTTTCCGGGTATTTTTGTTTAGCCACTTATTTTCCCAGGATTGTCGCCATGCTTGTTTCATCGTAATTGAACAAATTTGACGGGGGCACATTGTCAGTGCTAACTTGCAAATTTTCAAAATATTTTCGAATTACTTCAGGAGAAATACTCGCAAGTGCACGTTCTATATTAGCTGCTAGGCGCTGTGTCAAACTAGCCTGATGTCTTTTAATAAGTGAATAAACCGAGTCTCGACCAGGAAGATTATTTTTAAAACGGGTAACCTGTTGTCCTTGCCTATCTAAGAACGATTTTATAACCATTTGTAGATCTATACATAGCTGAAAACCCCAGTCGCTGCAAGTTACTACAGACCGAATTATTGCATCCTCCTCTTGCTTGGTAAAAACAGGTTGCCCTCCATGTGACCTTACAAGCATTCCTTTTATATTTATGAAATAGGGTTCCGTAAGGATTCTTGAATTCCTTGGAGCATAAATTTTTTGAAAAGGGTATAAAAATAGCCTAAAAATATGGCATATTTTTTAACTCAAAATTTCATAGGTGCTCTGCAGCATTCTTTGGTATCATAATTATTACTAAGTTCACTAACAAAATCTGTTTCTAGATTATTTTAACACTTGCTGCGATTACAAAAAATGTCTATATGTCAAAATTAGAAAAAAAATATTTATAGAAATAAAGGGCCTTATACACTATTTATTATATGTAATATAAAAACAAAAAAGCATAATAAATATTACAAACCTTGACATGCAGCATATCCTAAGCATATTGTGCACTAAAAATTTCATTTTTGTTAATTACAAGGCAACCACATCAGAAGGTTTTTGCCGTACTTTATGTTTAGGTGTAATTTGTCTCCTTCTCTCTTATGGAAAAAGAAATTATCCCCATATTCTTGCTTGGCAGATCTAAAAATAAAACCTGAGATAAATATGTTTTACTTGCTCCATATAAACTGTAACTACCTACTATTAAAACAAAGTCTTACCTTTTTGACTTTTGTAAACTGAGTATTGTTAAAAAATGCAGTAATCATCTCGGTAATCATATTTTCGTTTACAATGGGTAAAACACTTGATTCAACTTTTATAAATCCAGCTGATTCATATTAATAATAAAATTAAACCAAAACAAAAAACTAAGGTTAGATGTTACTGATGTTAGGTGGTGTCAATTTTAATGTCACTTAGATGTGCGTTCACTTCCACATTCTATGTGTTGGTTTGTTCGTTGGCTTGGTTTTGTATAACAAAAAAAAACTTCGACACAAGATGATTGGTCTATTCCCGATGACGTATAATTTCAAATTTTAAATTTCAATTGGGCTTAATTTAAAAACTTTTGGCTTTTTTAACGAACTGACTATTTAGAATAACTTGTATAGCGACTAACTATTACAATATAATTTATAAAACAGCATATCTCACATGTGAACATGGCCATTAACATATTCCATTTGATAGAAAATATTGAGTCATGTTTAAAAATTCCTCTCAAATGCTTGATTCTATTTCATTTTGACAGATTTTCGCTTTGATTTTTCTTAAAATATCCTAATTTTTAACCGACTTCAAAAAAGGAGGATGTTATCAATTCGTCGCGATATTTTTTTTTTTTTATGTATGTTCAGCGATTATTCTTTAACACGGTGTCCGATTTTAATGATTCTTTTTTTGTTATAAAGGGGGTATTTCAGGGGTGGTCCCATATAGATTTAGTCAAAATCTAATAATTGGGCCCATGAGAAAATCCTCAAACTCTTCATTTTTTATGTATGTTCAGCGATAATTTTTTAACACGGTGTCCGATTTCAATAATTCGTTTATGTTAGAAAGGGACTACTTTAGGGGAGGTCCCATATAAATTTGGTCAAAATCTAATAATTGGATCCATGAGAAAATCCTCAAACTCTTCATTTTTTATGTATGTTTAACGATAATGCTTTACCACCTTGTCCGATTTATACGATTCCTTTTTTGTTAGTAAGGGGGTACCTCAGGGGTGGTCCCATATAAATTTGGTTAAGATGTGGTGATGGCATCTGCACGGTTTTGAAGTCGGTTTTTTTTAATTTTTAATTTGTTATACTTATTCTATTTGTTTTAAAAAAACTATTTAATGAAAAACACATTTTACAGGCCGATTCTATAGTTTTGTATTAAAGTAGTTTCTTATAACATCTTCATCTAGAAGTGTGTACAAGAAAATGGTAATGTATAATATTTCTATTGTACAATCCCAAAAAGTGACTATTTAATGAAAGTACACCATAGTCAAGAAAATTTGAAAAAAAAAATATGTTATCTAATAGCATGTCAGCCAGTGGTAATGTTATTTTAAAATATCATTGTAAATTAACAGAATGTAGGAAGTAAAGAAACTTTCAGTTACAGAATGTGATTTTTATAACATTATGCTATAACATTGCCTTGAACCATTCTCCTTTTTTGAATAAAAGGCTCATAAATCGTATGAATTTTCCTCTCGGGAGGGGGACATGGCCCCAATAGCCGCCCCCCTCCCTGGAGCCGCCCTTGCTGTCTGGTAACAATAGCGCGCACGGGCTGGACAGATGTTTTCTGATACGCTGTCATGTTTGAGGCTCGGTTACTCAAACCGCTGTATCTTCGTTAGTTTTGCTCTGATTCATAACAAATTTTCACACAATATTCTTGAAAAGTTCTCCATTCACAAAATCAAATCTGAAAAAATGCAAAAAAAAGTTTAAAAACTTTACGTCCCCCTCTTAACGAACAAGTGTTGAATAAATCTGTAGACTGATTGACGATCTCAAAGAGGCCTCATAGGTTCAGGACGATGCACAATGGACCTAGCGAGGCCTAAGTGCCGTTGAGCAACCCACTCTTTCCACCTTACAGAGATACAATGGTCGGAAAGAGGGGAAATTGATCTATTTTTAAATTTTAGAATTCAATAAAATTGATACCATTTCTTTTTTGGAAATCATACTATTTTCACTTTTAATATATACATGTATTTCAATAACACCCTGTATAATATATCGACTTAAATTTGACTAACCTGTTTTACTATCAACTATAAATCACAAAAATCATTAAAACATTAATTTTTTTAGTTTTATTTGATAACCGATTATAATGTATGTTTTATCATAGGTCCATCTGTTTTTGGAAAAAGTAAGAACCGATAGAGAAGCTTCGAAAAAGCTGGAGTATAAACGTCAAGATGGACAATCAAAAGAAAATGTGAATGTTAATAGTAGTAAAAGGTAAGTTAACATTACAGTTGGGGCGGCTAATATTTATAGTTCAATTCAAATATATATTTCTGTAAAGCGGTTACTGCTTACACTTTTAACTTTAGTCACGCTGAAATTGTGACACTCGGAATTATATTTTTTCTACACTCACATGGATATTAGCTTATCTACACACAGATTACAAAACGAAAAAAGTATGCCTTTAACTGAACGAATATATTTCAGATCCATTCTAAGTAGTGAGAACACTGCAAAAAAATGAAATCCACCAATCACAGTTCATATTTTGATAACCGACTGCTATTATTTTTTAAAATTTTAAATAAGTTACAATTCTGTCAAACTAATTGTCAGTATATTTTTTAGTTATTGAGGTTCGTTAAATATACGAGTACATTAAAATGAGTTATTCTTGTGTAGAATCGATAAATAATAGAAATTCAATTTTTATTTCATCTATACTTATAAATAATTTGTTAATTCAAATAAAACTATATGTAGTCAATTTAATTACGATTAATAAAGCAAACAAGTGTAAATTAAAAATTTAAAAAAACCGACTTCAAAAACGTGCAGATGCCATCACAACATCTTAACCAAATTTATATGGGATCACCCCTGAGGTACCCCCTTTCTAACAAAAAAAGAATCATAAATCGGACAAGGTAGTAAAGCATTATCGCTAAACATACATAAAAAATGAAGAGTTTGAGGATTTTCTCATGGACCCAATTTTTAGATTTTGACCAAATTTATATGGGACCACCCCTGAAGTAGCCCCTTTCGAACAAGAATTATTGAAATCGGACACCGTGTTAAAGAATTATCGCTGAACATACATAAAAAAAAATATCGCGACGAATTGATAACCTCCTCCTTTTTTAAAGTCGGTTAAAAAATAAACACGTAAATGGTCCTGTGGTCAGCGTTCTTGCCTTCCATACGGAAGACTCATGTTTAAATCCCAGATGGGAGAAAAATTAAATAAATTTTTTTATTTTTTCTTATTTTATAAATTAGTAAAAGTCATAAATTATTTTATCTTAATAACCTAAAATAATTTTTAATATTTGTAAATTTTCGTTAGTGGGTCTTAGAAAAAATATAGTGTACAACTCGAGTGGATTGTCCATATCCACTCTTGTTGCACAAACTACTATTTCAGTTCTATTTTGCCTTTACCAGTGCGCCCAGTGGTCCCAATTTACTTCAAGACATAAATAATTAATTGTTTTCCTTGAAATGTTTTTTTATCATTCAAGAATCATGGGAAAATAGTTAAAAACATTTGGCCCATCAGGATAGTTTTTGGCGGGAGCATTAGGTCCTCTAATCCACGCCTCTGGAAATCAACTGTCTCATTGTCCATTTAATGTCTTAAGCTGTTAGAAATCAAGGAAAACACTTCGAAAAGTTTCCTCTTTCTGTCATATGCATACATGGGCCCACACCTTAATAGTTAAGTATAAGGTGTCTTAAAGAATCTTTATTTATTGATCAAGATCAACTTTGGCCCCTTCAAAGTAATCCCCCTCAGATATAAAGGTACGTTTACATCTGACATTTATTGCATGAAATTTATGTCTGACAGTTATTTACTCCAGTGTAAACAGACAAAAATTTCTCTCGGATATATATTTTTGAGCTTTTTAAAGAGTATGGAAATGTTATGTCCAAAATAAGATATTTTATAATTTCTTTTTTGTTGATTTTAATTGGACACTTGGCAACAATGCGCTAATTTGTATTGACAGAGCATAACAGATATAATTATAAATTCTAATGAATGTATGGAATGCTAGAAATGTTAGACGTTAGGAATGACTGTAATGTGTAAAATAAGTCGCATGAGAAATGCATGGGCGGATTTTAAGAACATTGATATTAAAGTAGTAAGGATGAACCGAAAATTCTGAAAATCAATAGGGTTCTAAGTTAGAAGCAATTATTCAAAAAAATCAAAACTGCAAGTCAGTCAGTACTTTTGATCTAGAGTTATCGTGCTGGCAATTTTTTTCATTTGCATGAATGCATTACTGAGGCCGTATAGGAAGGGCCTCAGTAATATGTAAGGGGCGGCTTGTGAGATTTTATTTATGAATTATTTAAAAACTGTTAAAAAACGAATTGTAGATTCGCTTTTTTTTTTCCTTTTCAAAATATATTTAATTTTTTTAGTAAAGTTAGTTCAACAAAATCCAGTGCCTCCTCAAATCCTCCTAAGGTAACAACAAAAGGATCATGGGTTGGTAAACATCAAAAACCTGAAATTACTAATAATTCAGAACCAGACGGCTCTTCTTTCTATGTTGATCCAGAAATGATAATGAAACGACGTCTTTTCATGGACATAAAAGACACGTTTAAAGAAATGCGGCAAAATGGGTTATTTAAATGTAAAATTTGGAGAGAAATTTTTAATATAATGTATGATGAAAGAGGTTATGACTTAATTAAAAGACCCAAGGCAGAAGTAATGTGGTCCTCGATAAGAATAAAAGCTAACAATGATATGGTAAAAAGCAAAACATGTTCTGACTTCTATAAGGAGGTACGGTTGTTATCGTCAGTTTTATTCTAAAATCAATTTTCTAATGTACCTACTTGATCTTTTATAGGTGTACCGATTTGTTCAAAAAACAAAAAGAAGCATATCTCAACTTGAAAAGCGTGCAAAAAAAGGAAAAGTCGTTGAAACTTCTGTAGCAATCAAGAAGGCACGTTCCAAACCTATACCGGTTCCTGTAGTTAATAAAACTGTTACTGACAATGTAGTGAATAAAAATAGTTCTACTGCCGTTCCTGAAAAATCAACTCCGGAGAAAAAGGTCAAAGATAGTGAGCCAGTTCCTATGGGTAAAGAGTAAGTATATATTTATTTTTATTTGTTTTTTTCAGTACACTACTCAGCAATTAAAAACCAACAAGAGTGCAATGAACTAAAATTAGAAGAATTACATTGTAATCCTGAAATATATCATGAGCATAGAGCATAAAATATTTATTTATTTATTAAATACACTGCTCTACAGGCTAAATGCCTAGTTATAGAACAGGAAAAAAAATAGTAATTACAAAAGTAAATATAACATATTGCACAATAAGACAATTTGGATATAACATAAATTACACAACATAAAAATTACACAATATAACAAAAATTACATAATATGACAAAAATTAAATAAATGAATGACTATACACAAGAAAATAAATCAATACTACCTTGCAGGTTGTTGCTGTTTTCACAAATAAAATACAACGGCGAGTTTTTTAATAAATTTATCCTAGATAGCGGGAAATAAAACATTAAGTTTTTTCGAGATTCAATTCTTGGCACTTTAAATACAAGTTGTTCTAATAACTCGGAACAATCAATTTGGTAGTTAATAAGTTTATAGAGAAATATTAACGACTGATTTTTTCGTCTACATTCTAAGCTTTGCATTTGGAGTCTATTTAGAAGCAACGTATGATTTATCCCAATTGGTGGATATGTTCCGTCTATCTTAAATGCCAAGAATTTTAGATATCGTCTTTAAACGTTTTTTTAAGAGCGCTTATGTGAATATCATAAAATGGTTTCCATATTAGTGAAGCATATTCTAATTTTTGATTTGACGAACGCATTGTACAACATATTCATGGTTTCGATAGAATTGAGGTCAACTGCATGCCTTATGATAAATCCCAAATTTCTGAATGATGCTTTACCACGTCAACGTCATTTAGATGTTCATTATAAGTAAGTTTTCTATCAAACTTTACCCCAAGATCTATAACAAAATCAGGCCTATTTAATATAACACCATCCAAACAATAGTTATAGAGAATTGGAAAAACCTTTTTTGTTATGACACTATATTACAGTTTTTTTGAATTTAATGGAATATTATTTATTAAACACCAATTATTTATTTTATTAATATTACTTTGTAATTTTAGGACAATCATTTAAGATTTCTACCTGATAGAAAATTTTGACATCGTCTGCATAAATTAAATATTTTACGTTAACGTCATTAATGATGTAATTTACGAATAGTATAAATAAAATCGGTCCCAGAATCGAGCCTTGAGGTACGATATCACACAAGGACTAACAAATATAATAATTAGGCAATCGAACGTCTTGTCAGAATGGGTAAAAAGGCCAAGGATTATACACTATGCTGTCTTTATAAATTGTCTATGCACATTTTCAATAGCACGGCTATATATGTTATGTGTCTAGATCTAACAAAACAAACATAACTTCTTCATTGTATGTACATTACTAAATTGTCTGCAGTTTCTGATTACAAAACCATTAATTTGATAATCTAAAGTAAAATATGATTTTTTCCTCTGGTATAAGTATGTTATAACACTACTTATCAGGTTTTAAATCTAAATAATTCAACTAAACATCTTTGCAAAACTGTACAATCAACCATATCTCGTATTTCGACAAAAAACATCAGCGTACTTTAAGTATTTTGTGCTTCTACTTTTCCGAAAAATGTCAATAAAAATTATGAAAAGTAGCGGCCCAACGGCCGAACCTTGCGGTACAGCTTAAAATGTTTGACATAAATCCACGTTTTAAGTAAAATGTGATAAGTGAAAGAACACGATCAGATTCTAAGAGTTCTTTAGACTTTAATTTTTGTAGTAGAATTTTATGGTGAATCCTGTCGAATGCCAGAAACGTCGGTACAGATAACATTAACCTGACTTCTACCTATGACGTGGGTAGAATTTTTCGAAGGGATACTATTAGTCCTAGATCTGGGGTAAAATAATCTGCCTCATAAGATACCAAAAGTTTGCTATGAGAAGTATGTAATACTTCCCGCCATGAAAGAGGCCCGTCTGTCGTCCAAAAATGGTCGCCTTCATCAAGTAAAATGTTTGGAAAAAATAACCTTAGCAAATGCCTAATTACTACCAGGATCATATTCTCGCCAAAATGAACAGAGGAACTAATTAGGATTGCTTGGGTCTGCCTAGTAAAACGGTCGTCTTTTGGAGAAAAATCATCACTTCCCATAAACTAGCAATATTTTTCATTTTCCTGTATCCAGTAAGGAAAGTGTAGGAATCATGATTTTTCGACGGAACTTTACCTTCGTTTTGAGGCCCCTGGATACATTTAGATCATCCCACCGATTTTCAACCTATCTGTCTGTCTGTGTGTATGCTTGCGTGTCTCTTTCCACAATAACTGAAAAACGGAAAAGATAAAAATACTAAATATTAATCATAAGCTTTAATCCATCCTGCACCAAGCTGATTAGGTTTTGGGCATAGTGGGAGTCTTTTTTTTTTAATTTATAGGTATATTTCTGATATATATATATATATATATGATTAGAGAAGAAAATTATTTAAATAAAAGTTCTCTGTGATGTTGGTCTCTATAATTTTTGTCATATACATGATTTCTCTAAAATGAACCGCAATGGAGAAATTTGAGGTATTAAATCGCATAATACCAGGTAACTTTTGACCAATCTCTGTGATCCCATATTTATGAAAGATATTTTAATCTATTTTGAAAAATCGTCTTAAACAATATTGAAAAAAGATGTTACTATAGATTTGTTCCAACAACTAATCTATGACCCCTACACTATTTGTGAACCGTTTTCTGATTAAATTCTTGTTGAAACGCATTTCTGACTGTCATTACCTTCGGAAAATTTATTTGTTAGCTCATAAAAACTTATTTCACATAATAAATACTTCCTCTGCTTCTACTAAAATAAATCATCTTTATTTGTAGATTTGAAAGTATCGTCTAAAGAAAAATTCTCGCATTATTTTTTTAAAAGTCTCACAAAATTATACATTTTTTATTCTAATAAATAAATAGTTGATCAGAAATCCAAAACAAATGATATATTTTAAATGAAACCATCTTTATCTGCGATCTGCGCAAACTCGAATTGCTAAATTGAGAAAAATTTACAAACCAGTGTGACGGTTTGATCCCGATCCGAAATTTGTCATAATATTTGTTGGAATACTGGCTTATATATCGTCGTTGTTTTGGCTATTGGTCGTATCTCAAATTTACAATAATATCCAGGAGGCCCTTAATAAGATTTTTCGTGGAATGAAACACTTTATTACTGATAAATTTTAAAGTAAGTTGGTTTGTTTCTTCTGATTTTCTGTTGTACTTTGATCATTCTGGGAGCTATGTACATTGCAGTTTATGTTGTTCGATGTAAAAGATGTTTTTTTACAAGTTTGTTGGAGTTACGACCAATAGCCATAAAAAATATGCCATATTATTAATTACAACTCACAGCCAGAAAAAAGCATTAGTGCTTTAACTACATTTTTTATTTCAACATTAGCAATAATAAAAACTATTTAATTAACGGTATAACACAACAAAATATAATTGAATATATTATGTTTAACAAAATCAACAATTAGTTTTCATAAGGCAAATTTTGGTAAAATATTTTGTGTTCTATATTTCTTGTAACCAGCATATCTGATTAGAAAATTAATTTAAATTCCTATATTTTTCTGCACATATTTTATTTGAACTAGAGTTGAGAGGTGTTAAGGTGACATTTTGCAAACCGATATTTAAGTTAAAGATCTGTAAGTATGTGTCGGTATTATGCCAACTTTTGAAGTAAACTTTATGTAAATTTTGTTTTTAAATTTTTACTTCTTTTATTTTTGTCCAATTAACTTTTTCTTTCTGATCAATCCTTATGTTTAGTAATTTAATCTCCTGTGATAATTTCCTAAAAATTTTAAAGTCAAAATAGTTAGGCTGGGTCACATTATATGGGTGTTTTCTTTTGCGAGGCGAATTGTGGGTATGAGTTGAGACGGCATGAAAATTTCTTCACATTTTCTTAAGGCATAAGATATCGCACTGTGGGCAGAATCCCATTCATTCTACCTATGATATGGTTCGAAAAATCTTAAGAATATCTCGTCTATACAGGATGTACCTATAAAAACTCCCAGGCCAGATATTTTGGTAAGTAATAGAGATATTTTAATTCTGTAAAAGCTAGTTCATAGAGCGCTAAGAGAGCTTTAATTTTAGATATAAATTAATTTTAAATAGGTTAATATGCAGATGGCGCTGCGCTCTATATTATTTTTTCGATGAAAGTATCTTTCTTATATAGCGCATCTTGTAAAAAATAATTTTTTTAAGCTGATTTTGTGCTATAAACTAATTCGATAAATCTAACCATTTTTGATATAAAGAGTGGGTCACTCAAAACAGTTTCATTCTGTTTTTCGGCATTAATCATTGGATTTTAAGAAAATGCTGAAACAGGTCGATTTTTATTCCAAATTGAACACATTTCCACAATGCAGACATCTGTCATGTGTTAACCCCCTCCCTTCCACTTCTCCAACCCCTTAATTTTAAATAAGGAATGTACGGCACATCATTGAAAAGGTAATTTTGTGGGGAAGTCATAAATATGATTGTTTATTGCGATACTTTTAATTTTAGCTCCCTCTATTGGGATAAAAAACCTGTAACGTATTATAAAGTGTGACACTTTATTTGAAAGCTAATTTAATTACTAATTCAATGCACCACATCATTAATACAAATATTTCCATATTGCACTTGCAACAAAATAAAGTTAGCAATAATAATGTTTAAAATAATGCATGACTAATTTTCAAACTATTGCAAGTGCAATATAGAGGATAATTATATTATTTTTTTTGTAGTGAATTGAATTAGTAATTACATTTGCTTTCAAATAAGGTATCACACTTTATATTACGTAGGTTTTTTTATCACGATAGAGGACGGTACAATTAAAAGTATCGCAATAAAAAATCATATTTATAAATTCCCCATAAAATTACCTTTTTAGTGATGTACTACACATTGTAGTATTACACTAGTTCACTAGTTACATAGTTTTTTTTTCCGCTAGAGGGCAATAAATTAAAGTAACGCAGTGTATTTTTGAATTCTCCATTAAATTACCTTTTCAATGATGTGCAATACATGGTACATTACCTATTTAAAATTAAGGTGTTGGCGAAGTGCAAGGGAGGGGGTTGATACATGCCAGATGTCTGCATTGTGAAAACGTGTTCAATTTAGAATAAAAATCGACCTGTTTTAGCATTTTCTTAAAATCCAATGATTAATGCCGAAAAACAGAATGAAACTATTTTGAGTGACCCACTCTATATCAAAAATTGGCTATATTTATTGAATTAGTTCATATGCATTTTTTACAAGATGCGCTACATAAGAAAGATCCGTCCATCGAAAAAAAATTATTGAGCGCAGCGCCATCTATATATTGACCTATTTAAAATTAATTTATATCTAAAACTGAAGCTCTCTTAGTGCTCTGTGAACTGGCTCTTGCAGAATTAAAATATCTGTATTATTTGCCAAAATATCCGGCATGGGAGTTTTTATTGGTATACTCTGTATAAGTGCTTTATCTCTATTTTTTTTCTTTTATGTGAGTAGTAAATCGTTCTTGTAGCTTTTCTTTTTCACTATCTTCGGCCTTTCTGTAATGTAAGCAAAAACTACACTTTTTTTTTCAGTCGATTAAATGACAAATTAAATAATTTAAAAATCTTATAGTAGGTACTATAGCTAGCAACTTCTCGTTCTTGTACATATCGTACATGTTAGACAATGACAAATCTCCATGGAGGTACTCTCATTTAGAAGATTTTCTGCCATAGTGGAATTCTTCTCTAGGGAACCTCTCAATATAAAATTTTACATCTTTATATATTTTTGCACGCAGTGTTAGTTATCTATTGAGCAAACTAACATAATTTTGAAAAAAAAGTGAGATACGACTTATAGCTAAAATATCAAATGTTATAATATTAAATACTACATTCCAACATTTATGTTTTGTTCCATCAGTAATTTATTATTACAAATAATGCTACCAGCATACAAAGCATGCAGTTTTAGTTATCTATTAAGGAGGTCCTTTCGCCACACCTCTCGCCTCAAATGTTACGGTACTTTATTCTAAAACACCCTGTATACAAAAATGTAACAGTCTAGAAAAAGCCAATCCTGGCTAGAAAAATGTCGAAATCCTTCCTTCACGCGTTGGGCTGTGTACAAAGAGACATTCTAGTTGATACTATTCAATCGCCACCTAGCCAGCGTCAGACAATGGCATTGATGAAGGTCGTCAAAGAACAGGTTCGGTCGAAGGCGATCGCACGACTGCCTCTTCCTTAAGAGATAGTTCCTCCTGGAACTAAAACTGCAACTGGACCCTCTTTCACAATTTCCATTTGCATGGAAATAAGAAAGGACATTTTTCGCTGAAACCTGGACACTATGCGAATTACCACAGACCATAATTTGGACCTCGGCATCTTGGAAGATTACTTCATTCCACCATGTTTCTAATGATCCTCCAATTCAGCTTGTTACTCTCTATCGTTGGCATGGCTAGTTTCCAGTACGTGCTCCCTCAAACTAAGTAATGCTTCCCATCCATCATGATAAGTGGATCGATCTGGGAAGATGTTCTTTGTTTCCAGATAGAAATGGTAACGCTATCCATCTTTGAAGTTTCAAGGCTTTTCCAGGGGCTGGTAACTGACCTTGAAATTCTGGCAATCCACCAAACTTCTTCCAGATCACAGATGCCAAACCTCAAACATCTTTGATGCTGGTGGAAGTACTATGGACCAGCGAGTAGTCTTTAGGAACAGTGAACAGAGCTTGTTATTGTTAGGTTGTAACACCATATCTTGTTTTTCTGGTACCTCCATATGCACCCATAAATTCTTCAATAGCAAGTTCAGGTGTTTCTTGGAACTGCAGTGGCGCATCCAGAGTTTAAGTCTGTGGGGTAATGGTAATAAAGCTTAGGTCTGGAAGGGGTAGTGGTATTATTTAAGAACTTTTATTACCCATAAACAGTTAGCTTTAAAAAAAATTGGGGTAATTACCCCTATTACCTCCCGTATATGCGCCCCTACTGGTCATTATAATAGTTTTTACTTAGATAATAGTAGGTAATAGCTAATAGTATTTTTTTGTATTTGTTGTTGTTGTTGAAATATTGCTTTAATAAATGTTAATTGTTCAAACCGCATTTGCATATTTATGGCCTAATTATTTAGTATAAGAAAATTTTAAAATTAGATATTCATTTATCGTGCGTTTCATGTACATTGGCAGGGTAGGTACCTAAGTTCATAAGTCGAATATGTTGAACGATCCTAATAACATAAGTCATTCAAATATGAAAAAAGTAATTTTAGGATAATTTACTTTAAAGTTAATGGTTGTAACTCCATTTTCTGAAATAAAATATATACATTAATCAGTTACTATCAATTTACTCGATTTTTGTTCTTCCTGTAAAGTAGTCATTTTTGACTTATTTGCTTTAGTCTGCTGGCCCTAAAAATATACTTCTTATAGCAAACTTTCTGCCTATATTGTTAAATCGCAAATCTTTCAAATATAACTACTAAATAAAAGGTCTATAAAGGAGGGAACGCATTAGATAATCGTTTTTTCGTAGTTTTTTTTAAACAATTAAAATTGTCTTGGGGGAATTTATAAATCGGGTTACAAAAATGAAGTTTGATTGGAAACATAAAGATAGAATGAAGTTGAGACGATCGATATAAACACTATTTTGAAGTTAATAATTTGATATTTGAATATTGACGGAATGAAAATGTTTTTATATCATTTAAGTCATGCTATTTAAAAAAAAAAAAATATTTATTCTCACCAAAACTGACTAGCTGCTCCACTTGCTCATCAAGTTTGACATATGACGTAAAAGTGTGCGGATACTTAGAATCGTCCTAAGATCTCCTCTTTATTTTATATCAATCATTGGAAAGTTTGTATGCCCCGCCCTACTTTGTAACGTCACTATGTGCGTTTCGCAAATTAAGGTGATTTAAGTGATTTTATGTTTCACGGATCTGTTGACGTGTGGTCCTCTATATTTGGCTAAAGATTTTTGAGAAAACTTCTTGCTCCTCCAGATCACTTACATAGTGCGCCACGGAGAGACGATTAGCCAGAGCGCAGTAGTGTACCCAAAAATAGAGATTAAGACATATGAAAACAATAAAATTATTAAAATTGAATTAATATTTTTGTTATTTATTTTAAAATAATGTGTTTTTATGAAATGGGTGTTCACCGCACTAATGAACCAATGGAGAAACCGCCCTTGCATTCAACAAGTATCGGGTAATATTTCCAAATTTAACTACTATGAATACTTTCAGCTAATATAAATCAAACTATTGCTCTAACCGCATACTATGCCTATGTGTCTAGAATTAGTTATGGAATAATTTTCTGGGGAAATCCAGCAGATACACAACGTATATTTATTTTACAAAAATGTGTCTTAGAAATATATTCCACCTGAAAATACGAGATAGTTGTAAAGATATTAATCACAGTGTGCTTATATATCTTGGAATCTATTATATTTATCAAACAAAATTACAATGATCAATTAAGTTTGACATATCTATAATACCAGATCAATACCTATATCCAAAAAAGATGTAGAATATTCTATTCAAAAGATTTAGAATAAGATGCCTTCTGCACTAAAAACTTTAGAAATCAGACCATTAAAATTGAAGTCATTTCTGTGTGATAAAGCATATTACAACTTAGACGAATTCTTCTTGATTCATTAATTATATAAAATATTGATTATTAAGAACAAAAATAATAATTATAAAAAAAAATGTATATTATGTTAAAAATGCGTTTAATGTGTATTTATGTATAAAATCTATATTTATGCTCTACACCTCTAAAGGTATTTTTCGATTAAATAAACATTTCTTTCTTTCCTAAGGTGATACCTAGTAGTTCTTTATACAATACCTGCGACTATCTTGGCAAATTGTCAAAAGAAACAGTAACAATAAAATATCAGAATTTAAAGGTTATTTTGACATTCATTCTTTAAAATAAAATTATTATTTTGGCATTCATTCTTAATTAAAAATCACATAACTACGAGTTACTTAAAACAATAAAGTCAATCAAACAAATTATTGTTGTCTAGAGGTTAATATTTGGACCTTGCATTCCTTAACTCGTTTGCGAAAACAGAGTTGTAAGTGTATTCTAGAATTACTGTATAACTGTATAACTTCATTACTTCTTGATTGAAATATCCCTTAAATTTTTTTTAAATATTCTTATAATGTATTTTTTTTAGCATTAATCAAGTAAAATTCTGGACTGAAGAAGAAAAATTGAATTATCTCTCGATAATGTCTGACAATGAACCTTATATGCATAATAAAAAAGAGTATTGGTTAAAAGTTGTAGCTGACTTTAAAAAACAAAATGAACGCATTCTGTCTGATACAGGTATACTTATGCAATGGCCGAATTTGCAAGAACGGTTAATGATAAGGGAAAAGAATCAAATGAATTTAGATGCCGTTGACAAAATGGTAAAAATCTTAATTGGTAAAATTAATAAAGATATTCCAAAAAAAAATGATGTCACAACCAATAAGGATACCACAACCAATAAAGATACCACAACCAATAAAGATACCACAAACAAAAACGACACCACAACCAATAAAGATACCACAAACAAAAACGACACCACAACTAATAATGATACCACAACCAAAAATAAAAGTGCGAAAACCAGCGTTTCGAAATCGATTAATCCAGTGGCTGCAGGAAGCAAAAGAATAAAAAGAGAAATGGCACCACTTCCTCAATCGTCACAATCGAGCATGAGTTGCGATTTAACTTATGACTATGTTTCCTTAGAAGACTTACAACAAAGTACAACGTGGGATATGCCAAATTTGAAAATTGAACAAAACGAAATACATTTTGTGGTAGCTAAAGTGGAAGGCGGCGTCGCTTTAGATACTTCTGTTCCAACACTAGCCGATGCAGGAGGAGGAGAAGATAGTAGAGAAGATGTTGCAGTGAATCAGAGTTACGTTGGTGCCAATGATCTTATGGTAAACTAATTTTATTTATTTACTTTTTTCGCATTTTAGATTTTTATTTTATTTTTGTGGATACTTTAATATTGTAATGGTTTAGTTTTCAGGCGATTTTAATTTGAGTTAAATTCTGAAACTTTCACCCAATATTGTCCAGGTACCCACAGGGGATCATAAATTGATCTAGCTGAGATTTCTTCAATTTTAGGAGCAATTAATTTCATTACAACTATGTTGTGTTTGTGTTAGCTGTAATAATTCCAGCAATTGCTTTACTCTTATCTTTACCAGTGTTGGCAGTAGCAATTACAATACTTTCAACTAATCGAAATTTAAATACTTCTATTTTGACCCTATTGGAGAAGATATTTTATATCAACATTTATTTTTAATTCTTCCTGGTTTTGTATTTCCACTTTTTAAGTAATTTCATTCTGGTTAAGCCTAAATTATCTGCACATAGAGGTTTTATTTTATACCTGTTGGGACAGGTTCAATTGGTATATGCTATTCAATTTTTTTTAATCGAGCTTGGACATGGAAGTTTGACACTGTTTTATTTGATATCTTGAAAGTTAATTTATATTCAGTCCATATAAAAACATAAATGTTATTAGATTAGCGGCATTAATCATCTCCCTGATATTTAAATTCCTTGAATTGTAACATCCCTGCTAAATAATCATTAATGTTTACCCAATTTCAGTTATAATGTATAAAATAACATGAATATGTATTTTAATATATTTGAGATAATGCTGTTAAGTCCTATTAGAATAATTGAAACTATTTGTAGAACTGTCTTATTGTGTCATAAGTACAAACACACATTTATTAAATAATATTGTAGGCGGATCTATATGATAATAATTATTATCATAAAGATTATTATAACATTAAATTATCCAAAATTATAGCCCCAAAGGCATTTTTTGTCAAAGTAAACTTATATACAGCTTTTAAATAACATAAATATCGCCAGTCGCAGAAAATGATAATTTGGATGATTTGCTTTATGTACTGGCTGATGAAAACTTTCCCCAAGGTAAAAATATTATGGTACCTTAGCATAGTCAATTTTTGTCATTAGAAAAGCAAGTATCTCCCACTAAAGTATGGACCGGATTTAATTTCTGATTTCGTCTAAAAACCTGATATAGCCAGATAATCTATAACTTCTATTTTATTAATCATTGATTTAACAATCAAAATATGAAACTTTCCCTATTTCAGTTTGCTCTATCTTTGTATATACAAATTAAATCCAATCCACCCTGTATATTGCAATTAATAGTACTCAACCTTTTAGTTTTTGACAGCAGATCTAGATGTACCTTAAAAAATCCTTTTGATATTTTAATGGCAAATCAAATATCTTGTGTAAATTAATTTAACAATAGTAAAAATTATAGTTGTTTAAAGTTTAATCCAAGCTACAATTTGTAGGGATGGTAATAATACATATTTTCATGATATATAAAGCGATGTGGGCGGGGTTACATTTTTGTTGGACAGGAGTGCGTTTAGAAACCTCGTACGGCGCGTCTGGACCACATACTTATAAGTAAAATTATCGGAATATACATTAGTCTTAAGACTTTCATTATTCGACCAAAGATGTATTAATATTAAAGAAAGAATAGTATAACACCTCACAGTTTGTGCATATTTTAAATGACTAAAATTATACGGTAGTGTTTGTAACAATGTCTCTTATTTAAAATGTATATCTAATTATTTTGCAGACCATTGAATCAGAGTCGGATGAAGAATGACCCTCGTAGTAGATAGTACATCAGATTTTATATTTTGTCTATTTTTTAAATTTGTTAATTCCATAAAAATATCTAGTTTACGTATTTTAAGAATGTTGTGATAATATATTTGGTTGGACATGTATGTTTCTTTGTTCCCATTGAAAATGACTTTGTTAGTTTTTAATTAGAGGCCGGGATAAATGCTGGTTGAATCAGAACTATGGTATCAAACGTCGAGAGTCGAAAATGTCTCCCTACGGCGCTACGGTCCTATTTATACAGTGTTATTATGTGCAAAAATAAATGAGAACAATGCTTTAACACTTGATTAAACACATTTTTTCGGAAACTGACCATAGGACTGTAGCGCCTTAGGGAAACATTTTAGGGCATGGGTTCTTGCACTCAAATGTCTTCTATTATTGCACAAAATAACCTCTCGACGTTTTATTTCATAGTTATGGTGCACCCTGTATTGTTATGAGTTAAAAGGTTCCTATATCGCAAGCTTAATGTGATTTAATCGAAAAAACCGTAACTATGAAATTTCAATATATATTTTTACAAGTGCTTTGTATTTACATTTTTGTGTTATAAAGAATATATATGTAGTATATGTAAAATATGACTGAATCAAATAACTGCATGCAAGTATAAGACAGTAAAATATATATTTTTATCCTGCACACAATGACCACATTTAGTATTCCTTTTGTTCTAGAAATTAACATTCAACATCGCTTTATTAAGCGTTTTTTTGGTTCCTTAATGTCCAGAAAGACAGTTATAGACCATGGCATAAATTAGGCACAATTTTTTTATTTATCATGATAAATAATAGACTTTTCTAATAGACTTCAATACATGAGAAATATTTCTCTTCTAAGTTACTATTGTATGTTTCAAGCATTTTGTTTTTAGACTCTAATGTAGAATTTGCAAAATACTATGTACTCGTAGTATTGTAGAATGTGCAGTATTTATCTGACATCTTTTAAAAATCTGTAAATGTATATTATAGTTTTAACCCCACACTGGTCACCAACCAATCTATGTATTTATTCTTGTATCTCGGATCAGTTCTTGACTAACTTGTTATGGTTTTCTTGCTTCCCTCTATCATCTTTCACAAATTTCTGTTTAACTGGCTATAACATTATGAAATGAAATTCATAATTTATTTAAGAAAAATGTTTTGCAAACTTATTTATTATTAATCATAAAATATACAATTAAGCGTGCGATAAGAGATTTTTTGACTAATTCTAATCAGTTCGATCTTTTTTACTTTAATGAATAAATTTATGTTTTATTAATACAATAGAAATCGGTTATAACTACCTATAAGCAACAGCGTACCCAGAATCTGAACTAGGTACAGACCAATAAAAAAAGCAAAATAGTTTTTCGTTTTTTTTTATTAATTATTAATAACCATATTTTATATGTTCTCTATTTTAGATGTATGATATTTGTTTTATTATAAAATTAAATATAGTCTAGGGTGGGAGGCAGCAAACCTAGCCTGGTCCTTGCTGGGTACAGCTTTGCCTATAAGGGATCATGTAAATTAGTCTATATAACATGTAGTATGGCATAGGATAGGTTTGATCGATTTGTAAGGGACGGCTGCATTATAAACTATTTTATGAGTGGGTCTCAGAGCAAGACTTCTTCCAACATATCTCAAGTATTTTATTTTAAAAGACAAAAATCTTGATTTAAGAAGCGATTACACATTTGAAATTTGACCGGGTCTCCTCATATACAATAGTCTTAGGGCGAGTTATACAAAAATGCAGTAAACTCAGTTTAGCTAACAGGAGTTTGATTTTTAACTGGTTATATTCATCGTAAAAATGTCATTTTTAAAACTATGTTTAACAATAGCCGATGATTATACACAAGGTATTCACAGTTTAAGCTAAGATTACATTTTAACTGCCTATTGCACAACCCGTCCTTAATAAATGATTGTGCTATAACTGATTTCAACTGTATCGTAATCTAAAATGAGACACATTTGCTGTTTCAATAATTATTGTTTATATAAATAAGTTGAAATCTACAAATAAATGTTTCTAAAGCAGGCATTGGAAAAATTCACGTATATCGATCGAACAATTTTTCTTTTTAATCGTAGTTATCACAGACATGACTCCTATCTCTGTCTGTCGGTCGGTCATGACCTACTTTAGAAACATTTTTTTATGGATCGCTCTTATATTAACCCGTTTCAACTGTATTATTATCTAAAGTCAATCACATACGATTTTCTACATTTTTCAATGATTATTATTGGTATAATTTATGTTATATAATAAGTTTGTTTACTTTGAACTGCTACTTCAGAGAACGTTTTTGATGTATTTGATTAAAAAATATAAATGTTTAGTTTGTTTTTTTTTTTTTTTTAATAACATTTTAGGAACCATTACCGTAATGGCGTAGCGTAGGTTTCAGCCAACCTTCCCCTCCCCCGTAGAATTTAAACAAGTATATAAAGGTAAAAGCATATTTTGGTAGTCTAATAATAATTAATATCCAATGGTTCCACTGACAATTAAAGTGACAGTAGATTTTTAGAGTGCGTTTTATTCGTTTTGTTTGCCTAAATTATATCGTTTTTTCACTTTTATAAATATATTCCTAAAGAAAGTAGATAACATGCATCAAATATACAATCGTTTAGTTACCAATTACATACCTTTAAACTATTTTTTATGACCTGTAAACAATATTTAGAAATAAACTAAAAACAGTAAGAATGTATATATCAAATTTATTGATGTTTTTTTAAAAGTTTGGTTAGAATTAAATGTCAGTGGAACCAAAATGACATCACACCGAACTAGCGTATAGCACCTATTAACCTTTTATTGTTGGATTAGGCAAAGATTACGAAGATTAGATACCTCCTGCACTAGGCATTTAAACTGAAGTGTGCACAAAGTTGCCAATGTGATTCCCATATAATTGTATTTCATGATACATACTGTTTTTATCTATTAGAAAAGCTCCCAAGATGATTAAAAAAGAAACATCCCCTAGTTTAACAAACGCAAGCATAAAAATTTGAGTACGAGGTATAGCGTGGGGTGTGCCATCTTTCGGAGGTGACGTAAAGCCATCCGTCCCGCGTCCATGAGTGTTGGGCTCGTTAACGATCCTACCTCTGGTTGGACCATCAAATTTCTGCTATTTGTGGGTAGCGTGCTTAACAGCGTCGTTGTTTAAACCTCGTAATTAGAAATGTCTTCATTAAATAAACGCGTATAGATAGATGTGTGATTCTTGCATAACTGTGATTTTTTATGTCCAGTATTTTATTTATCGTTTAGCATAAGTTTTCCTCATCAAAAAGTTATTAATATTATAAATTTAGAGGTATTTTACAACTGACATTATGAATTTGATCATAAACCTTCGCAAATGTTTTTTAAGCTGCACCTAAATATACTCGAAATAGTAGCGTGGCATGTCCGATTCTCATTTTTAAAATTTAATATATAATTTTCTTTCAAAATTTATTTTTTAATATAAAATGTACCTCTTATAACTACAATCTAATGCATGCTGCATTGAATTTTTTTACAATTTAATACCAATTCAATAAAAATCGGTGAAAAGCTCTGATTTAATTACTCCAGAGAAAATGTTTATAAAAAAAAATCTGATGTGTCCAACACATGAGTTTTCTATCTAGTTATTACAGGCTTTTTCCGGTTATTTTGTACAACCTATTGTAGTAAATGTTTAAGAGGATAAACTAAATACATACATTTTCCACATACTTCTAAATCGAAACATTTTTTTTTATGTGTATTCATTGCCAACAAAAATAATGAAAAAATCAGAATTTAGCACATTTTGCCAAATTTTACGATTACGGACCATTTTAGGAAAATTTTGTATGGAGCAAAAATTATAGAGAATAATATAAGAAGTAACTTTTAGAAAAATTATGTATAGGACAAGAATTATAGAGAATAATATTACAAACAACACTTTTATTTAAGCAATTATCTAAAAATTTTAATTTTTTTACATTTTGTCAAATTTTTCGAATACGGACCATTTTAGGAAAATTTTGTATATAATAAACATACAGAATAATATATTAGAAGTAACTTTTATTTAAAGAATTTTCTTCTCCAAACATAAATACCAGATATATTCCATAAAATATAAAAATTACCCCCAGATGTTCTGACTCTGCCCAAAATTTAATCAGTTCACCGCAGGCCGGAATAAAGCTTAAGTTTAAAATTTGGTGTTTTTCTCTGTATCCGTTTGTGAGTTGCCGATTATACACACACACAAACATCATCGCGAAAATAGTGTCAAAACGTAAAAATCTGTCAAAAACCCGAGGTCGAAAAAAATCATGATTCCTTTTCCTTATCTGTATACAGATAGGAAAGTAAAAATGCAACCACTATTTAATCACCAAAAAATATACCTTTATATAAAATGGCACTTCTAAACACGGAGTAAGGATAACCTTTTCCGCTAAAATTTTATGTATAGTATGTTTGATTTATTTATAATCGCATTTTGGACATTCAGACAATCGCTGTGATTTATTATAATGATTATAAATAATATACATGTAGGTTGTTTCCTATACATTGACGTCAGAAGAACGGTATGGAATAAAAGATGCTATTAGACAGGAAGAACCTTAAGGGCGGGCGTGGGCAATGTATTTAACATAGGCATACACAACGCTCTTTCAATGACTTTTTAGCTGAAACTACAACAAAGATAAAAGTGAAAAAATTCCTGCCGATAATAGATATATACTACTGTTCAATAAAGGTTTTTGGTGTCTCTAACTATAAGAGATCGTTTAAAAATAATTCCCAAAATATGGTAATTTTTACGATGAAATAAAGCTAAAAATATACCAGTAATAATTACTCGATGATGAAAATAATTCTTCTTTGAATAGGCTATATACTAAAGCAACAAATGTCACTTAAAATATCTAAATTAATTGCGTCAATTTTCTTAAA